GGAAGCGGGCAGGTGGGGACAGGTGAATTCCTACTACCTGGGGATGTGTGACCTTGGGCGGAATGTGTCCTATGTCCCCCTCATCCTCTGTGCCTCCCCCCAAGATGGGGCCTTGGTTGCTCAGGACGTTTGGGGCGAGGAGTGGAGGGATGGGACAGGGCTCTACTGTGACATGAGGCTGGAGGAGCCAAAGCAACACTGATACCCTGGGGACCCCATGGCCCCAACAAGGCTCCCTCATCCAGTCTCAGCCCTCCCCCACTCCAGTCCTTCCATCTCCCTTACCCAAGGGATGAAGTGGGGACTCTACGGAGTCTGGGACCTGCCCGTAGCCTCTTAAGTCTGAGCTGGCCTGGATGCTGCCAGGTGGGACAGGAGGGTTTGAGATCTGGCTTGTTCCTAAGGGGCTCCGGCGGTGCAGGGGTTGAATGACTGGCCGCCTGTGGAAAGGCTGAACTTACCAGCCCCGCTTCGGGAGTGGGCAGGCTTGGGGGTGCTGTGGGGCAGCTCTGCTCTGTCCTGTGAGCACTCTCTCTGTAGGTTAGGGTGGGCTCCGTGGCAGTGGGGTTATGAGTGGACCTTGTGTCACCGTGTGGTCCTTTTCCAGGTAGGCTGGGGACTGTCACAACTTGGGTGGTCCTCCTGGTCTGGGGGTGTCTGCACCAGGCACCTCCTGGGACTCTGTGGGGGGACCCCAACACCTGAGCCTGTATTCAATCCCTCAGGCTGCGTGACACATCGGCTGGAAGCAGGCGCTGTGTGTTCACACGCGATCCATCCGGAGGCCACAGGTGGGGCTCAAGGTGCTACAGGGCTGGCTCTGTGAAGAGGCCCCCGGGCCATTCATCTCTGTGTCTCATTCAGCTGCAGGCAGCCCTTGGCTTGTGGCTGCATCTCTCCGATCTCCGCCTCCACCTCCCTTTTCCTTGCCCTCTCTTCTTGTGAGGACCTGAGGGGTTGAATTTGGGGTCTTCACCTCTCGTCTTGGGGGTGGTATCAGTGCCTGCCTAGTTGGCCGTGATTCGGGGCCACACCAGGGCAGTGATAAAGCAGGCACAGCTGGTTTGACCCGGCCCCTTCGGACTGCGCTGCACACGGACTGCTGCTCGCGTGCTTGTCCGTCTGTTTTGTCTAGATGGGCCGGTGTGGCAGCCCCGTGGGGAGCGTCTGCGCACGGTGTGTCTCCACCGTCACTTCTCACGCTTTGTCTTCCCGCTCTCCCTGCTCGCTCAGCAGAGTGCAGGCGAGTGTCAACGGGACTTTAAACTCTATTCAGTGTCCGAGAAGGAAAAGGTGTGACGGTGGGCGAGCGATGGATCACAGAGCACCATGGCTTAAAAGACTCGCGCCCATCTTGCTCTCAGCTCCTTCACCAGGGTGCCCTGAACGCGTATCTCCCCACCCCATCCTTGCTTCCTCCCCGGGCCTCCTGTTTCCCCTTCTCCTTCTGTCTTGACCCCCCGAGCTTTGTCCTCGGGGAAATGCTGCCCCTTGGGTCTGAAATGGGTGATGGTTCTGACTTGAGGGAGAGTTCAGTTCTACACCCGAAGGGTGATGAAGGCCCTGGTCTTGGGGTCAACTCGGTCTCCGTGATGGTGTTGGGTTCTGGTCTCCTTCTCTGTCCAGGAGCGTCTAGTGTGGCCCTCTCAGGCTGGGCGGTGTGCTGGTGGTAGGTGAGCACCACCTGGTTCTGGTCTCGGGGCTGTGGAGACTGACGTCCACGTGGCCATTAGTGCGTCGGACTCACGGACTCCACGTGTCCCTCGGTCCCACCAGTCTTTGTTCCCCCACACAGGGAGAGCCCGAGAAGTAGTTGCCCCGGAGATGGCCGCTCACGAGCTGCTAAGATCTCAGTTGGTACGACCCCAACAACCCCAACAGGATGTAGAGCACTGCCTACATCCCCCCAGGAGGATGCATAACACCCGGCTGTGCCAGTTGACCTTGATGTCCCCCAAGACAATGGTCCTGAGCCTTGCAGTCCCCGGACTCCTTCCCTCCGTTTTTGGATGTGCCTGAGAAGTTTTCAAAGAAATGTTGAAAGTTTGCTCCTGTAAAGATTGACAGCCACTGAGACCCACGGGGGCCAGCTCTACTCTGTTCTGTAGGGTCACCATGAGTCGGCATTGAT